CTTTATTAAAAAGTTTAGCAAAATATCTCATCTATCTTTGTTGAATATCATCTTCTAAGAAAAGTATTTTTTTGATCTTCATCCTTAATACACTTCACTTGAACTAAATCCTTACTACTCCTATCTCTTTGTTTGGCTAACTTATACATATATCTTTCTCCCTCCTTAGTATTTAATCTATTATATAAATCACTAAAAGCTAATGTCTTTGCATCGCATATTGCTTTCTTAGAATCCTTACGAGCCACTTTATATATTTCCCAATTATCATAATTTTTAAAATTAAACCAATTTTTATAACAAATCTTCTTATTTTTAATCTTTTCTTGCACAATTGGATTCCACCACCACCAACTATTTTTACTATTAGGAGATTTTCCCTTTGATACTCCAAGCATATCTTTTGCAATATTCTTAATATCACTAGCCACTTTTTCCCACATAACATTAGCAATCCTCATGCACAGACAAAATCTTAAGATCTAAAATCTAATAAAAAAATTTTATTTATGATATTTTCTAACCAAGTCTTTTTAGGTATATCTCTAGCTTTCTTAAAATAAACCATCTACTCTCCTGAGCGGGTCATCGGAAGGCCGCCGTTTTTATATTCCACTAGAGTTACTCCAACCTTAAAATTTTTACGCAAGTGAATAGAAGGCAATCATTAAAAACCTCAAAATGAAAAATTTGCTAGCAACCTGATGACAAAATAAGCGTGTACACATAAAATTTTAGATAATTTTTGAATTTATATAAATTTCATGAGATAATCCCTGACCCGAATATCTCAAAATTCATGCAAGTATAATTAAAACACAAATTGACAAGATATGGATATTTTCTAGTCATATACAAGCATCATAAAGCAACTTTCAAATTATATTAAAATGCCCCGAAAAGCATGCAAATGCATCAAATACTCCGAAAATTTGAAAATGTAATGGAAGTGCACTAAAAATTGTGCAAGTACATGATGCATGTGAAAATTGAAAATTATGCAATAACATCAAATCTTTTGAAACCAAAATGTCGGGCATGTGCTCCAATGAGCAAGTCAAACACATAAAACATAACATCTGAGAATGTTGCATAGACTGAAAAATAAATAAATTTTAAATTTTAATATGAAAAGTACACACATTAAAACTTCACAACCAATTTTAAATTTTTAATCTCAATTGAAAATTTAAAATACTAGCATGTGCTCTGGCTAAATACATAGAAGTTCTAAATTTGAGGCTCGTTGCATAACGTAAAAAATAAAGAATGAAATCAAATAGTACTCATCTCAAAATCGTGCAAGTATGTAATATGTCAACATTAAAAAAACATGCAAATGTATTGAAAGCTGTGCAAATGCATTGCATAAATGCTATGAAAAATGCGCACATCCTCTATATTATGTTCAAGTCTTCAAAAATTAAACTCATCCACATATACACCGACAAGTGTATTAAATGTCAGAGTTTGTCACTCGATAATGTTGCGGATGAAAAAATAAAATGAACTTAGATCTAGCACAATCCTTTGCAAGAAACTTGTCAAAGTCAATAAGGACAACAACAACAACATCATCAAGCCTCTGTCCCACTATGTGGGTTCAACTACACGAATTCTTTTTCTCCATTGTGTCTTGTTAAAAGTCAAATTTTTGTTTAAATCTAATAAAGAAAGATCATTTCTAATATTTTATAACCAAGTCTTTTTAGGTCTAACTCTACCTTTCTTAACATAAGTCAAATCTAATACCTCTACTTTCCTAGCCGAGCCATCAAAAGGCCGTCGTTTTATGTCACCAAACCATCGAAGGCGACTCTCACTAATCTTATCTTCCACTGGAGAAAATCCAACCTTTTCACGTATATGCTCATTTCGTATCCTATCTCTAAGGGTAAAGCCACTCATCCACCTGAGCATTCTCATCTCTGCAACACTTAACTTAGTATTATGCTTCTCTTTTAATGGCCAATATTTGGCATCATAAAGCATTGCAGGTCTCACCACCCCCTTAAGTTTGAGGGGGACTTTTCTATCACACAACAAGCCCGATGCATTCCTCCACTTCAACCATCCAACTTGAATTCTGTTAATAATATCTCCATCTATTTCACCAACACTCTGAACAATAGACCCAAGATATCTAAAACGTGTACGCTTATTAATGACTTGATCGCTCAAAGTTACAATTTCCTCACTAGGTCTATTACTACTAAAGTTACACTCCAT